TGAAAATAGTGAAAACACTTTATCCGGTTTGTGCGCTCCTGGGTAACTCGTTTGCACTTTCTCTGTTTGCTGCGGGTAATTAGCCAGGCTTTTGGAGTTTATATGCATTTAGTGCTGTAGAGAATTCTATTGCGAACACAATGATACAAAATTTAATCTCGTAGGACGAGAATTAAGGTGACAAAGTTGAAGAGAGTATACACTTTTCAGAATTTACGCGCGCTCACGTGACACCCTGGGACCCAAATCGCACAGTTGAGGGGTGGCGCGCGGGGTACGCCAAAGTGTTAAGCACCAAGCAACTGTTGCTCATTATATATACCAGCTAGTTTTTTTTTTAACATTTCTCTATTTACACCCAGCATTTAAAGGCAATTTAGAAATTGGAAACAGTTTGACATACTGTGCTGTACTATACAGAGGACAAACCATAAAAGTGATAATTAAAAAAAAAATACAGCGGTTTTCTTGAGATTCTTGAGGTTATTCACAGCGCCATGCTCTACATATTCACCCTGCATCCGAGCTCTCAATCCCCGGCCTCATTCAGCTCTCTGCCCTGGTCCAGGCTTCATCTCAACTACTGCAACGCTTCACCACATTGCCAACAAACCAACAGCTGTTACAAAGACTACATAAAATGAGCATAAAAAACCACTATACTCTACGTTTTATCACCAAAACACATACACGTAAACCATACGTTACAAGAGCATGGCAGTGATAATGGTTTAATCCTGACAGCTGAATGGACAGCATTAAGGGGCCTGACAGCTGAGTCAGCACTTCAGATTCGTAGTCCTGAGGTTCCAGGTTTGATCTCTGGTGGAGGCGGAAACAAATGGGCAGAGTTTCTTTCACCCCTGATGCCCCTGTTACCTAGCAGTAAATAGGTACCTGGGAGTTAGACAGCTGCTACATGCTGCTTCCTGGGGGTGTGTAACACAAAGGAGGCCTGATCGAGGACCGGGCCGTGGGGACACTGAGCCCCGAAATCATCTCAGGAAGATCTTAACACTTTCGCGCTTTAGATTAGAGATAACTCGTCGCCGTTTTTTCTTACGATTCCGCATAACAGCCTACTTTTCTCGTCCATCGAAAAAATATTTCTATAAATTCCATTTTTTAACCGAAATGGATGGGGATACTCTCAGATTTTTCTCCATGAAATTCCCGTTCTCCCTCACCGAACACATGGCATCTCGGCCTACCCGGTCACGTGGTATACCACATGTTCCCGACATTGTAGATGCCAGCGCAGCTCCTCCTGCTGACGCGGCAGTTTCAACACCCGGGCCATCTGGTGTGAGGCGTCCTCTGTTCACCTCAACACCTCAAGCCCACTCATCAACCACAAATTCTGAAATGGACATTGAGGACATAGAACCACTTGATGTTTCTGATTTCATAGAAGATTCTACTACAAGTTTGGTGGTTCCTGTAGAAGACAATATTCCTCCAGTGCATCCAAGAAATACAAGAATTATAGATTCAGAACAACGTCTCAACTACAAGTTGACGCATGAACTCATGCACTTGGCTAAAAAAAGAAGATGCCGTGTTTGTTTCAAGTCTGGCAAAAGGAGGGACGTGATATATGGATGTAAAACTTGTGATGTGGCACTGTGCGCTGCGCCTTGCTACACAAGGTACTACCGAAGAAAGATATTTTGGGTGGAGAAAAAATAACCACCGGCAACAGCTTCACTCCACCTAAGAAACATCAGATGAGCAACTTCAGGATCAGAAGCCTGAAGATGGTGGAGTGAAGAAAAAATGCTCAACTGTTGATCTTCAATCAACATAGACAGGGTAAGTACACCTATTTGGAATTTTTTATCATCTATAAGAAGTTATATACGTTTTGTAGAGAATTTATTTGCGAATTTTTTGGTACCAGAATGAATATTATATCACAAACTTCTATGAGTAAAAAAAAAAAACACAAAGTATGTTTGGGGGTGTGGCGGGTGTGGCTCTGGGTGTGGCGGCCGTGTGACAGTGGGTTCCCTTTAGCCGTTGATATATCCAACACGTGGGAAATATTTGTATGTGTTATGTATATGTCTGTGTAGGGAATTTTACTGCGATCACTGTCATACAAATTATAAAATGTTTCAACAAGTATAAACATGACAACCATCAAACGAACGAAAACAATGCGTTCGTTTCTGCCGCGAACGCATACTGAGCGACGTGGTTCTATATTTGGCGCTTCTCTTACACATGCTTTGTACAAATGTTATACATTTCATCTTATAGAACATTTTATTGCAAACACATTGGTATAAAAAAGAAATACGTACATAGAAAAGTAGGGTCAGGAAACGTATAAATGTATAAACTTTCCAAGCATGATTTCCCCCCTGTGTTTTCGCCAGTGCGCTCGTGGCTAACTACTCTCCACTTCACACACTCTTGCGGGTGGGCAATTACCTATATTAAACATTCATATGCATATGTCCGTGTAGAGAATTTTATTGCGATTCCAATGATACCAAAATTAACGATGTAGGACAACTGTAGGCTTCGCAACCATTAAGAGAGTGGAAACATTTTGTTGCTGTTTGGCGCTCTCGGCGAGTGATCTGCATAGTTTTTTATTTGGTGTTGATACTCCTTATGCTTGGGCGGCATTTTATAGGTATGCTCTTATAGACAATTTCATTGCGAACACAGTGATACCAAATTTAAATACGTGCGCCTTCAATTATTGTCAGGACAGTCAAAAGAGTGTACACTTTTTCGGTCTTACCGCGTAGGCGCGCGAAGTGCCGAAAGCATCTGGGGTATTGATTTTTTTTGAGCGCCGAGAGCGCGAAAGTGTTAAGAAGATCCTGATTCCTGTTCCATTAGCAGTAAATAGGCATCTGGGAGATAGCCAACTGTGGGTCGCATCCTGGGAAAAGGTCAATCATTAGCCTTGGGAAGGACCTAGAAAAGATTGAGCTTTCTGCCCTCAACATTATAGTGGTAAACCCTGTGGTGCAGTGGTAAAACACTCGCCCACCTGGTTGACGAGCGATTTGGTTTCGGTTTGTATCCTGGCCAGGGAGGATGGACTAGGCGCCAATCCTTAACAGTATGCCTCTGTTCTTCTCTTCTTGTTGATAGTAGGTGCAGTTTGCATGAAGGGTTTGTCCTACCGATGACTGCACCAGTACTGATGTTGTTGGACGCGTTTATGTTGAAGATGATCGGAGCTACCAAGGTGCTTGTTGCTTTGTGCTGTAGATAGAGGAACGGTGATTAAAACAGAGGCGTGTGTTAGAGGGAGACTTGCCGCACCGTAGGGCGGTGTGTTGTGTTTATGGCGTCAGCTGATCCTTGGTGTTGCGACGAGGCAGTTGTTTTCTGTGTTTAGCTGTTGGTGGCGCCAGGTATAAATGTGGCGCGGGTCAGATGTGACCCAATTTGTTGGTCGATTGGAGATATTTAGCCAGTGCTTTGACTATTTGGTATTTTTCTTGTGACAAGTGGTCACCGCCTCCTAATATATGCTCGATGGTGAAAGGGTATTTTAAGTGCGATAAAGACTTGTTTGAAATTTACTCTGGCACTATAATGTCGGAAGCAGTGCAGGAGATAGTGTTCGACTGTTTCAGGCACCTGACAGTGAGTACAGAGTTCGTTGATGTCTGTTCTGTACTTAGAGCTGTGTGCTGCTAGTTTGGTGTGTCCCAGCCTTAATCTGGTCATCGTTACATCAATTTCTCTGCTTTTATATCGGACATGTTTCCAAGTTTCCCATTTCTTTTTAATGGACCCATAGTGCAAAGGTGAGCATAACGTTTTCCAGTTTGTTGCAAAATCCTGGGAGATGGTATCTTTGAAGGCTCCTTTACGTGCAACATGGGGAATTGGATGACGGGTGAGGTGAGGCGTGTCGTGCATTGCTTTGGCTAGTTGGTCTACAAGTTCATTGTGGAGAATACCACAATGTGCTGGGACCCATTGGATAGAGGTGTCATAACCGTTCAATTGATGTTTGTGAAGAAGTTGAAGGCATGGGTAGACAATCTCCTTGCATGTTTTCGAAGAGTACGAAATTGCTTGAATCGCGCTCTTGCAGTCACTACAGATTGTATATATCCAACTGGTAATGTTGTGATGATTTGGAGAGCTTGATACAAGGCATATAATTCCGCTGTGAAAATAGATAGTTGGTTTGGTAACCGCCATCCCTGCTTGAGATGGTATTCCGGTATCCATACAGCGCAAGTGACCGAGGGTACGTTGTTCATGAAGATGCGAGACCCATCTGTGTAAATCTCTGTGGTATTTGGGTAGCAATTTTTCATTGTTGAGACAAAGACTGAGGCTATGGCTGAGTTTGGTGCAGATTTTGGAATGTTGTCTTCGAGTTGTATTGCTGTATTAGGAGTTGTATAAAGCCAAGGTGGAATGGGGGGAACAGGAGGTTGGGTTTCACAGTTTTGAAGTAGGGAGAGGTCTATATTGAGGTTATTTGTAGCCCGTGTGAGGAAAGGTTGCGAGTGAATGGTTAGGGAGCGGGGGTTATATGGGTTAACTGTTGGGTTAATTTTTGATCTGTATGGGTGTGTCTGGTGAGTAGTGGTGCAGAGTGACAGAAGTTGGCACACATAATGTCTCGTCTGGTGGCTAGGCTTGTGAGGCCTGTTTCCCCGTAAAGTCCGAGGATTGGAGTTGAACGCATTGCGCCACATATAAGTCGCATGGCATTATTTTGTATGACCTCGAGGCTCTGTAGGTTAGTGGGCGCCGCCGACGCATATGCTTGGCAACAATAGTCTCTGTTCACCCAGCAGTGAATGGATTCCTGTTAAACAATTTGGCGGGTCGTATTCCAGAGAAAAATTAGGATTAAGGACTTGCTTGAAATGCTTTGCGTGCTAGTGGCTTTACATGAATGTAAGAACTCTTGTATACTGTATATAAATAAAAAAAAAAACATGGGAACACAAACCAAATCATATCTCTGGCCCGCCGGAATAGTCTCACTCTAGTACTGTACTAACCTTATTCTCAGTCTTTTTCTTCTTGTCACTTTTAGAAAGCGTGCAAGAAACTAAGCACATCAACGACACTAATATTCCCAAACGCAGCAGCATGATGTCAATAGCAGGAGTGGGCGAAATACTTGTTGTTGACAGTTTGTGTGGAAGATGCACCACCACGCTGGGCTACTGACCAATGGTGTGTCTGGACGTGTTGTTATTTACATTTGGCCCAGCCACTCGTCCAAATACGCACGTCCTGACTTGGTCTTCCTCAGCAATGTACAAATTTGTCCTGTTTATGTGTAATTTATAGAAGACGTAAATTGAAAATAAATTTATAAATGAATGAAATCATATTAATTATTTATATGTACAGATAAAGATTTAAATCAGATGTCTAAATTGTAAGAAAGTCATCTTCGTTTCATTCAAATGTGGCCAAGAACCCCTTCTAGTGTAAGTTTATTTAGACCTATCTATAGATAGATATTTCGATAAATAGATAAGCAAATTGCAAATATTGCACCAATAGCAAGATAATAAAAAAACTATATACATTACATTTAGGGTCCCGGTAATACAGCCGGGTTCGTTCTTTATTTATTTATTTATATACAAGAAGGTACCCGTACTAGTGGCTTTACAAGAATTGTTGGTTGTGCATATTAGATTAGTGCATAATATAGAGAGATGAGAGCAGAGTTAGGTACATAATATCTGATTTTGGAGAGTATACCAACTGTTTTAGAGACATTCTTAGTTATGTGTTGTATGTGGGTGCTGAAGTTGAGTCTCTTGTCTCTTGTCTAGGAATAGGCCAAGAAACTTTCCTTCATTTTTATTGCTAATGTTTACATTGTCTATCTGAAGCTGAATTGCATTTGTAGATTTGCTTCCAAATAAGATGTAGTAGGTCTTTTCTATGTTAAGTGTTTGTTTGTTGGTTGACATCCATAAGTGGACTTTTTTTTAGTTTTTTTTCTCGACGCATAATCGAGAATTCCGGGTTTGAATCTCGGGCGGAACAGAAATTGTTGGGCACATTTCCTTTCACATAATGCCTTTGTTCACCTAGCAGTAAGTTGGTACTCAGGAGTCAGCTTGTTGTGGGGTTGCATCCTGGGTGGAAGCAACAAGAGGGGAAGTGGCTTCAATAATTCGGCCGTCGGGGGACCTCGATAAAATCCAAACGTGTATGAATACACTCTGGCTTCCTGTCCCCCTACACAATTAATAAAAAATGCGTAATTAATAATGGATGAATGGTAATAAATTGATGTACATTTGTGTGTACACCATACAAGAGAATCCATTTGATGGCAGAATTTTGCTATTTTTTGAAACAAAGAAAAATTCATAGTTCAGATATATAGATATATCAGATATACAGGAGATTAAACAGAAAGGCATAAGCTCGATGGGTGTGCTGAACACTCCAAGATGCTCCGCCTCCTAGCAAATACCTCCCTGTGATTGGAGGTTGCGGGGAAAGCCAACACTTGCTATGAATGAAATGCAAACTAAGAAGTACGTCCCTTGTTGCTGTGCAAAGGAACAAAATTTTTTGTTTTGTACCCGACAGAAATTTCCATCTAATTGAATAATTTGGTCCAATAAGAGGGCGAAGCATCGTATCCTCAATCAATATTATTTGTGTCGAGGCAATCTCCACTTATGACGTCACAAGTTAGATGGCCAGGCACTTTTTCTATAACACCTGTTATAGCCTGCAACATTTAATTACCACTCTAAATAAATAAATAAATAAATTTTTATTCAGGTAAGGTACATACATACATTCTATTAACACTTTAAAATAATTGACACCTCACTTTTTGGGTAGATTAAAGTTAAAGCAGAATGTCATAAGCAGGGTTAATTGGTGTGCTGAACAAAGATGATTTATTAAGTGGGTGGAACCTTTAGCTGATCCCTTCCTGTCAATGGGTGTTGTGGTGAATGTCAACAAAGAATTTCTACCAATGATATGCAAGCACAGGAAGTAAGAATTCCGCACAACAACCCACCTTATGGGCTGCTGTTCAGCCATTAATAGTGCAATGTCCAACCAACAGATGGTGCCAGTTGTACTTTACGGGATGGCGGGTGTTAATAGTGTAATTTGATGTCAACAGATGGAATAAGCTGTATCTGTTGCGGAATGATGTGCGCCGGGGGGCCTCGGGTCCTGTGCCCTGTGATGGGGAATAAATATAATATTTTTTATAATTTATATAATTTTTTTTTCTCCTACCACCCCTATTATTTTTTATATATTTTGTATTTTGTTTTATTTTATTTTATTTTAATGCAATGCTACAGTTTACAGAGAACACACACACATATATATAACAATATAACTACATATATATAATATAATATACGAATGCGTCTTTACATGGGGTCGGCCGCACCGGAAATTTTGTTGCACTGATGAACTCGAGCGTTGTTAGTTTAGTTCATTTATTATGTAGCCCATACCCATCTTGTGGGCGGTAGTGGACAGGGTTACAGAGGCACATAATGGGCTCAGGGACTGGACGCCACAATCATTTAGCTAAGCAAGTTACAAATTAGAGCATTGTAGTGAGGTTGTTACAGAGTGACGGGCTGAAAACGTTCACGAGGAGTGAGGATGACAGTCAGTGGTCACGCTGCCCTGGTCAGTGTAGGAGGTGCTCCACGAGGTTGCTGCAGTTTACCTGCTTTACTAGAACATTTTCGCTGGCTGGACAAAGTTTTCTGAAAATATTCTGGGCTCCCAAGTGTTGATTCTATAGCTGCAGAGGTTTGCGTGCTTCCTGTGCCAACCAGACTCTCGCCAATATGGGTAAGTAAACGGGAATACAATGGCTGTCTATTACTCTTTTTTGAGAGACCTTCCCTATTTATTGCTTTTGTTAATGAGGTAGTGAAGAAGGCTATACGTATTTTGGGGCGTAAGTTCACAAATAGGCTGATAATACAGGCTATGTCTTGTGTGCAGCGGTTCTCTAAATGTTAGTTCTTTTGGGGATTTAGGCAAGGTACTGGAAGTAGGCTATTCAGCACCATGTGTGTTAGGTTGGTGTTGGTGGTTGACGTTAGCCTGCAGGGAGCACCGCCAGCAGGCAACGGTCCACAGGTTGTCTACTTCACTCTATCATGTAGGCAGTTTTATTTGTTAAAGTGAACCGATAAAAATAACAGATTAAGCGTAAATTATTTCTACTGGTCTTGGTTAGTACTATTTAGATGACATTGTATTGCGAAATTTTCTTAAAGCTCATTATTATCAGTATCGTTGATACCTTTTGAATATGATCTTTTAAGTAGCACATGAGCAAAATTATTCCAACATGTAAGTAATAACCATGCCAGTTACATCTTATTGATAGTCCTATGTGAATGATCTATCCCTAATGTAAACAAATATAAACGTGTACGATTATGTAATTTCAACTTTATTTTTATTTATTAATTTCACCTTTACACAGAGGAATGCATCATACTACTGAGTATCTTTTTCGTTCAGTGTAACATTTGCTACACTTACAACAAATGTTATCTGCCAAGAGCCAACCTGTATTTCCTGCGATATGAAAAGTTTAAGAGGTTTCCACATTTATACTAGTTTTGTTTCAATGAATCTGCTTTTCACCATGCTTACAAATAAACGCATACATGCAAAAATGTGCATATATTGTATACATGCTACACATTTAAAGATTAAAAAAGTTTATTACAACTAACTTTACTCTAACGACACTGTCACAATAAGATCAGGCGTCCGGAGTATGAGCAGTCAATGATATATAATATGATATAATGCAGTCACGCTGCAGGACATTCCCTGCTCCTGTGCCAGGCAAGTCCACTACGGGCTCACCATAGCCCGTGCTACTTGGCGTTTTTTGCTCAGAATAGCTGAATGTAAAGCAACAACAGGATACTGTTACGGGGTCACTATAGCCCGTGCTACATGGACATTTCGTTCAGAGTAGCTAAATCTAAAACAGCAGCAGCCGCAGGACAACAAGCCCTGCATGTAATTGCCCTTGGCTATATCCAACTACTTCCATCCAAGGGAGGGGGATGACTATTTATGCTCTGGGGTGGGGGGAGGGAGAGGGGGAGGATTCGCTCAATTCTAGCTACTAGTGACAGCTGGGGAAGAGAGATTGGCCTTGTTGTGCCTGGTGCGTATTTTCTTCTCTATTAGAACTTTTAATGCCATTAGTGGCCAAGAACCCCTTCTAGTGTAAGTTTATTTAGACCTATCTATAGATAGATATTTCGATAAATAGATAAGCAAATTGCAAATATTGCACCAATAGCAAGATAATAAAAAAACTATATACATTACATTTAGGGTCCCGGTAATACAGCCGGGTTCGTTCTTTATTTATTTATTTATATACAAGAAGGTACCCGTACTAGTGGCTTTACAAGAATTGTTGGTTGTGCATATTAGATTAGTGCATAATATAGAGAGATGAGAGCAGAGTTAGGTACATAATATCTGATTTTGGAGAGTATACCAACTGTTTTAGAGACATTCTTAGTTATGTGTTGTATGTGGGTGCTGAAGTTGAGTCTCTTGTCTAGGAATAGGCCAAGAAACTTTCCTTCATTTTTATTGCTAATGTTTACATTGTCTATCTGAAGCTGAATTGCATTTGTAGATTTGCTTCCAAATAAGATGTAGTAGGTCTTTTCTATGTTAAGTGTTTGTTTGTTGGTTGACATCCATAAGTGGACTTTTTTTAGTTTTTTTTCTCGACGCATAATCGAGAATTCCGGGTTTGAATCTCGGGCGGAACAGAAATTGTTGGGCACATTTCCTTTCACATAATGCCTTTGTTCACCTAGCAGTAAGTTGGTACTCAGGAGTCAGCTTGTTGTGGGGTTGCATCCTGGGTGGAAGCAACAAGAGGGGAAGTGGCTTCAATAATTCGGCCGTCGGGGGACCTCGATAAAATCCAAACGTGAATGAATACACTCTGGCTTCCTGTCCCCCTACACAATTAATAAAAAATGCGTAATTAATAATGGATGAATGGTAATAAATTGATGTACATTTGTGTGTACACCATACAAGAGATCCATTTGATGGCAGAATTTTGCTATTTTTTGAAACAAAGAAAAATTCATAGTTCAGATATACAGGAGATTAAACAGAAAGGCATAAGCTCGATGGGTGTGCTGAACACTCCAAGATGCTCGATCCGCCTCCTAGCAAATACCTCCCTGTGATTGGAGGTTGCGGGGAAAGCCAACACTTGCTATGAATGAAATGCAAACTAAGAAGTACGTCCCTTGTTGCTGTGCAAAGGAACAAAATTTTTTGTTTTGTACCCGACAGAAATTTCCATCTAATTGAATAATTTGGTCCAATAAGAGGGCGAAGCATCGTATCCTCAATCAATATTATTTGTGTCGAGGCAATCTCCACTTATGACGTCACAAGTTAGATGGCCAGGCACTTTTTCTATAACACCTGTTATAGCCTGCAACATTTAATTACCACTCTAAATAAATAAATAAATAAATTTTTATTCAGGTAAGGTACATACATACATTCTATTAACACTTTAAAATAATTGACACCTCACTTTTTGGGTAGATTAAAGTTAAAGCAGAATGTCATAAGCAGGGTTAATTGGTGTGCTGAACAAAGATGATTTATTAAGTGGGTGGAACCTTTAGCTGATCCCTTCCTGTCAATGGGTGTTGTGGTGAATGTCAACAAAGAATTTCTACCAATGATATGCAAGCACAGGAAGTAAGAATTCCGCACAACAACCCACCTTATGGGCTGCTGTTCAGCCATTAATAGTGCAATGTCCAACCAACAGATGGTGCCAGTTGTACTTTACGGGATGGCGGGTGTTAATAGTGTAATTTGATGTCAACAGATGGAATAAGCTGTATCTGTTGCGGAATGATGTGCGCCGGGGGGCCTCGGGTCCTGTGCCCTGTGATGGGGAATAAATATAATTTTTTATAATTTATATAATTTTTTTTTTCTCCTACCACCCCTATTATTTTTTATATATTTTGTATTTTGTTTTATTTTATTTTATTTTAATGCAATGCTACAGTTTACAGAGAACACACACACATATATATAACAATATAACTACATATATATAATATAATATACGAATGCGTCTTTACATGGGGTCGGCCGCACCGGAAATTTTGTTGCACTGATGAACTCGAGCGTTGTTAGTTTAGTTCATTTATTATGTGGCCCATACCCATCTTGTGGGCGGTAGTGGACAGGGTTACAGAGGCACATAATGGGCTCAGGGACTGGACGCCACAATCATTTAGCTAAGCAAGTTACAAATTAGAGCATTGTAGTGAGGTTGTTACAGAGTGACGGGCTGAAAACGTTCACGAGGAGTGAGGATGACAGTCAGTGGTCACGCTGCCCTGGTCAGTGTAGGAGGTGCTCCACGAGGTTGCTGCAGTTTACCTGCTTTACTAGAACATTTTCGCTGGCTGGACAAAGTTTTCTGAAAATATTCTGGGCTCCCAAGTGTTGATTCTATAGCTGCAGAGGTTTGCGTGCTTCCTGTGCCAACCAGACTCTCGCCAATATGGGTAAGTAAACGGGAATACAATGGCTGTCTATTACTCTTTTTTGAGAGACCTTCCCTATTTATTGCTTTTGTTAATGAGGTAGTGAAGAAGGCTATACGTATTTTGGGGCGTAAGTTCACAAATAGGCTGATAATACAGGCTATGTCTTGTGTGCAGCGGTTCTCTAAATGTTAGTTCTTTTGGGGATTTAGGCAAGGTACTGGAAGTAGGCTATTCAGCACCATGTGTGTTAGGTTGGTGTTGGTGGTTGACGTTAGCCTGCAGGGAGCACCGCCAGCAGGCAACGGTCCACAGGTTGTCTACTTCACTCTATCATGTAGGCAGTTTTATTTGTTAAAGTGAACCGATAAAAATAACAGATTAAGCGTAAATTATTTCTACTGGTCTTGGTTAGTACTATTTAGATGACATTGTATTGCGAAATTTTCTTAAAGCTCATTATTATCAGTATCGTTGATACCTTTTGAATATGATCTTTTAAGTAGCACATGAGCAAAATTATTCCAACATGTAAGTAATAACCATGCCAGTTACATCTTATTGATAGTCCTATGTGAATGATCTATCCCTAATGTAAACAAATATAAACGTGTACGATTATGTAATTTCAACTTTATTTTTATTTATTAATTTCACCTTTACACAGAGGAATGCATCATACTACTGAGTATCTTTTTCGTTCAGTGTAACATTTGCTACACTTACAACAAATGTTATCTGCCAAGAGCCAACCTGTATTTCCTGCGATATGAAAAGTTTAAGAGGTTTCCACATTTATACTAGTTTTGTTTCAATGAATCTGCTTTTCACCATGCTTACAAATAAACGCATACATGCAAAAATGTGCATATATTGTATACATGCTACACATTTAAAGATTAAAAAAGTTTATTACAACTAACTTTACTCTAACGACACTGTCACAATAAGATCAGGCGTCCGGAGTATGAGCAGTCAATGATATATAATATGATATAATGCAGTCACGCTGCAGGACATTCCCTGCTCCTGTGCCAGGCAAGTCCACTACGGGCTCACCATAGCCCGTGCTACTTGGCGTTTTTTGCTCAGAATAGCTGAATCTAAAGCAACAACAGGATACTGTTACGGGGTCACTATAGCCCGTGCTACATGGACATTTCGTTCAGAGTAGCTAAATCTAAAACAGCAGCAGCCGCAGGACAACAAGCCCTGCATGTAATTGCCCTTGGCTATATCCAACTACTTCCATCCAAGGGA